CATTCGGAAAAAACTGACAATTCTCTGATTTTGAGGGAACCTGTAAACTTCCTTAAGGTTCCTATAATTCATCCTCTATCCATCCTATTGGAGGTGGATTTTGTAAAGACGTTGAAACACATCGTCACTAACTTCTGAAAATTTTCTCTTGATGAGCATTCGTTAGGAATAGGATCTACTCTAAAATTTTTATACTCCTATTGGTCTTAAGTTGATACTCTTAACAGTTTCGGCTTTGCATTGTTATCTCAGTTGAGCTGAAAGTCTCCTTTTTCATATTCGCTAGCACCGCCGTGGCCGCGACGCTGATGCCTTTTCTTTACATCTTTTTCATTTTTTTCCTTGCATTTCGTTAAAAAATGAATGATTCACCATCGTCTTATTGTACTGACTGTTAAGATTCATGAAAATAATGCTTATCAGTTGATTGTCCATTCAATGTCAATATTTCAATAAGTGATTCACAAATTCTGAATTTCTGGGTTCTTTAAATGAGGTTCTAAATATAATTATAATCAAAATTCGATTCAGAATACGAAACAATTATTATTAAATTTCTAACATCTCAGAATTTTTTAGTCTTCGCCGCCCCTTTACACATTTACAACAGCATTCAACTATTTTTCTGGAAAAATTATAAGGCCCATTCTGATGCTCTTTAGCAAATTTGGAGTATTTTCTCGTCATTATTGATTTTTCTTACCATTTTATTAGATACTAGGGGGCTACGCCCCCTGCTCGCTCCGCTCGCCAACCCCGGGGGGGGGCTTTGCCCCCCCGCTCGCTTCGCTCGCTCCCCCCTCCCGGTGTGACCGAGTGGGTGTGACCGGGGTTTTTCCGATAGCTCTATACATCCTTTACCATAAGAGGCCACAAACGTATAATTCCCCCCCCCATATATAGGCGCCCCCCCATAAATGGCCACCCCCATATATAGGCGGCACCCCTCATATATACAGGTACCCGCCCATATATGGGCACCCCCCCCCGTATATGGGAACAACCCCATATATGGGCACCCCCTACATATGGGCACCACCCCATATATATAAGCACCCCCCCATATATTGAAACCGCTCATATATGGGCACCCCCTCATATATGGGCACCGCCCATATATATAGGCACCCTCCATATATGAACACCCCCATATATGGGCAGTCCCCTTAGAACCCCCATGACCCTTATGACCCTTATTAACCATATGCCCCTCGTGACCCTTAGAACTCCTACGACCGCCGTGCCCCTTAGCACTCCTATGACCCCCGTGATCCTTAGCACTCCTATGACCCTCGTGATCCTTAGAACCTCTATGACATTTAGAACCCCTATGACCCCTGTGACCTTTGAGACCCTCGTGACTCTTATGACCCTTAGCCCCTCTATGACCCTTATGACCCTTAGCACCTCTATGACCTTCGTGACCCTTAAGAGCCTTAGTACATTTGTGACCCTCGTGGCCCTCATAACTCTTAGCCTCTCTATGACCCCTTTGACCCTTAGGGCCCCTATGACCCTTGAGACCCTCCAGGGATGGGGACGTCCCCTGAAGCCCTGAAGCCTCCGCTGGCTTCGCTCATTCCCGGCTCTCGGTGTGACTGAATGGGTGTGACCGGGAGCGTTTTTCCGATAGCTCTGTAAATACTTTACCATAAGAGGCCACATACGTATAATTCCCCCCATATATGGGCACCCCCCCATAAATGGACACCACCATATGTAGGCACCCCCCTATGTGAGTAACCCCATATATATAGGTACCCCCCACATATGGGCGCCCCCCCCCTACATATGAGCACCCCCTACATATGGGCACCCCCCCATATATGGGCACCCCCTTATTTTTTTATTATATAGAGAGATTATAAAATAGCAGATTCATGATTCATATAATCCATGTTCCCAGCGCAGAATTGAAAAGAAAAACTTGAAATCACAGTGTGACTTCTGCGCCATCCTTTTCCGTGAACCTCAAATTCATGTTAATGATTCACAGGATATGACACAACTATCGTCATTCTTGTTCTCTACAATTTTTTATTTCGGATATTCTTATTATTTTTTCAAAGTGCAACAATTGAGCATGGTTTTCATTGTGTTGCATTCAAATTCTATAATCTCAATTCTAGCTATTGATTCTAATCAACTTTGGAGAAAACCTTACTAAATGCAACATTAAGAAAGTTAAATAATTCTATTTTCGATTTGGACAGTTATAATTGCTTCAGCATCAATTTTTCACTGAACGAATAATTTTTCCTGAATTGCAACGAATTTTTCTGCTCCCAAAATCGCACCAAAAATTAATTTTATGTGAAAAAAACTATATTTTTTGGAAGTTTGTACCATTCTATTATTCATTCGTAAGAACAGAATATTGAAAAATAGCAAGTATTTATGGAATTTTGTTCGAAAGCCGCTCATTATTCATCCTTTATGTTTGAGCTTTTTCTAGCCAATTCAAATTATAAATTAGATGATTGAAACTGGTTGAATAAAAAATATTCCGACTTTTTTATTCCATGGAAAAAACTGAATATTCTTTGATTTCATGGTATAGGTATTGATTTTATTACATAAAGCCTTTAAAAACTAAAATTGAATAAAAAAAATGAAATCAAATTATTTATGTAAGTTACGAATTTGGTCTAAATCATTTAGAAAAACATGAGATTCATTTTACTTCCGACTGAAAGCAATAAAATCGTTCCATTTTTAAATTTCATAGTTTTTGCTTCCGAATAGAAGCATTGTATTTGTCGAATCCGAAAATCCCAATTTTTGTATCAGGATAACTACTTTTGGCCGAAGTTGTTCAAATATCCAATTTTTAGATCATGTCCGTATGTATGTATGTATGTGTGTTTTGTGTGTATGTGACCGATCGTTTATCGACGATAACTGAAAAAATAATTGTTTAAGTGAATCTAATTATGATTTAAAATATTCTTCTCAATGGCATCTTGATCATCTGTTGCTGAAAAAAATTATTTTGAAACTAATATTTTTGGGGCAATGTTGGCTGCCAATATTGAGACAATGTCAATAAATTGATTACAATACATCATTGAATTCATTTTAAAATCCATCGTTATAGAAATTCCATGCGGAAGCGAAATGCTAATTTATGAGAAAAAATAAATACATTGACTATGTTGTGACGAAAGCAATTAACTACGTCTATTTTATTCCACTTTTGACATTCAAGTTCCTCTAATTATCAAACATTCCAACTACCTTTTAATTTTTAACCTTCACTACCAAAAAATAATTGCCGTGTCGAGGGACCTGAAAAACGCCAATTTCGTGAAGCGCAGCGCCACGCAAATATGTCCCAATTTATTAGCTATAAATTCTTTTAATTTTTCATATTGCAATAAATGACTTGCTCATGTGCTAATTGCTATGCTCACTGAATAAAAGTTCGATCATAATTATAATTCAATTTCTTCTCGAACATAAGCCAGAGAGTAGATTTCTGGTGAACACTCATATAAATTTTTATAATTAGTTCACCCGTTAATTCAATTAATCCGTTGTTCATATCATCAATATAATTCCACGCTTAGAATATCATCACCTAATTTTGTGTTTTCAGCACAAAATTTAAAATTAAAATTTTAAATGATTGTTTGACTTCTGCTCTATCCTTTTTTGGAAGTCTGAAATTCACATCAATGATTCAGATATTACATAGTTATCATCATTTTTATTATTTGCAGTTATGGAATATTGAGTCAAAGCTTTTTTTGTTTAATCATATCAGAAATTTTTAATTTAAATATTGTTACTATTTGTTCAAAGTGAAACAATCGATTATCATTTTCACTATGTTGCATTCAGATTCTTCTATACTTAAGGTCAAAAATGTCAGAATCTCTCATAATTCTAACTATTGATTCTGATGACCTTTGAAGGAAACCCCAGTAAACGCAAAATTGAGGAAGTTGAATCATTCTATTTTCCTGTAGCCTAAATGATTTGGCCAATTATAATTTGTTTATCAATCGAAAATACAGCGTGATTCGGTACAGAATATTCATCGTTTAAATGAGAACTTAAGTAACTTGAAAAGTTCTCCGCTTCACATGCTGGTTAAAAGTGTTGAATTGCATTAAATTTACAGTGAAATTTGAAATTTCACGACTTTTTCCCCTCAAACTGAAGTAAATGTCTCTCGCCTGAAAATTACTACTGAACTGTCCATGACACTTAAAATTTTTTTCCAACACTATAATTACTACTTACTCATAGTTATTAGGGAACATTTTTAAAATCTAAAAACAATAGAAAGTCAACTGTTCTGAGTATTGTCGAAAAATTGCGATTTTCGGAGACCACGACTTTTTTTGCTTCCGAATGGAAACTTTGTAATCATGTTGTTTTTCGATTTCTGAATTTTGGGTGGAAATGCCTAGAAATGTCATGTAACGTGAAGAAATGATGCTTTTAAAAAATGTATATGAGTAGGTATGTGTGTACATGTGTGTTCGTATGTCCAGAACTGTCCCCATAACTCGAGAATTATTGAGGCTAACATGCTGAAATTCTAGCTGCTAATTGGTACTACTGAGACTCAAATTTGTGCTAAATTTCAGCTCGATAGGTTGAGCGGTTCCTGATATAGCGATTCTTCGAAAATAGTTTTTTGGCGATATCACCTGAACCGATTGGATTCTTTTTTCAAAACACTCGTCACGATGATATCTATACACTCCATTGGTCGCGCTATGAGCGTGGCGCCGCACTTTTTCCAATTTTCGTTCTAAAATCAAACACACGCCTCCGAAAAATCTGAAAAAATTTGACATCCTACTTTCAAGTGTCTAAAATGATTACCTGCCATCGGTTTCCGAAAATTCGGTATCTACTGTGAAATAGAAAAATTGTTATGTATGAAGAACCCCGAAATGTGGCCCCGTACTCACTGCGCGACCAGACTCGTAAGTGAAATTTCTCAGGCGACGTTGCCGCGTGAGTGCAAGTGGTGGTTGATTGGTGGGGGTAGGCTGCTGGGGGACGAGCCGGGGCTCATCTACCGGTAAGTTGATGTTTTCATTATGATATTTATACATCAAAATGTCTAATAAATATTACTTTTTCAATGAAAAAAATTAAATCCCAACAACTCTGATTTTTTCCCCAAAAATTTAATTGCGAATGGGATGTAATCGTTTCACTGTAAAAATCTGTATGTCCAGTGAGGTTAGGAATCACTCAGTGATTATCCAAATGATGTACAACATTCGTTGTTTTGATATTGTTGCATCAAAATAATTTACAATATTTATTATTCAATGACGACAGCTCAATATTAGTTATGCTCCAAATGTAATAATTGATAAATTAAATCCTCAATTGTACGCACTTCAGGGGTGAAGTTCTCTCATCTGTCACAACAATCAGAACTAGTTGAGCTACAAGATAGTGAGTATGAACATGATTTATTATTTTAATATCAAATTAGGTTTACGATAGTGTTTGGTAGCAACAAATTCTGTCATTAACTCCAACCCACAATTCACGATTTTCTAATTGATTGATAAGATGCTAGAATCGAAATCGGCCATCTTTGAGGATTTATCTCGTGACCGAGTCGTTTTAGGAGATTTGTGGTCAAAATTGATGCATGTAATGAGGAATGAATGATTGTCCTGTACATACTGTTGGTAATTTCATTTTTTAACTCCAGAATTTTTTTTTTTAAGAATGTGGAGATATCTAGGAAACTATTGGGTTTAGGGAAAAATGTATTCATACCTTTTTTTTAGAGAATTTAATTTCCTTCGAAAAATGTCATTCAACATTTTCTCCTAAACCCATTTGTTTGGAAGATATTTTCAAAATACGCTCGATAAAATTAATTAATTGACAGAAAAATTGTCGTAAACTATCTACATCATAAAAAAAACATCTAAAAACATTTTTTTAAAAGTGGATTCTACTCAAGATAATGTAATGATTGGGAAACATTCAGTGATGGCTATTTCCTCCAATTAAAATTTTTCACTATGATAAAATGAGAAAAGAGAGATATTTGGAGAAAGACACATTTAATCATTTCCTATGTGAATTCGCTGTATTGAAATATGAAACTTCTTCTGGCTCCAGAAAAAATGCCATCGAAAAAAGATCCGACATGGCTCCCAAGTGGCATCGATGGATTAGATGATGAGCTGGAAAAATTAGGAAATGATGAAGATACGGATTATTCCGCGGCAGTGTTAGACTCCGATTGTGGAGAAGAGGTCCAAAGCTCTGAACAATCCGAAGCAGAGCAGGAGATTTTATGCATTTCATGTTGATGTTGATTCATGTTTGATCTCAATTGAACTGTTACGTACCTCAACAATTTAAAGAGTGGAAGTCTAATGAAAATATAAGCCAAAGAAAGTATTAGGAGTTCAGATGCCAATTAAATCATTGGCAGAGTGCTATACGTCTAAAAGACTAAAATAAGTCGACAATAGAAAGAGAATTGAAGATAAATAATTCCACCGTTTTAAGAATAATAAAAGTGTTAAAGTGCTTAAAATCGGCCATAATAGACGGTATTCACTTAAGCACTTTAATAATTTTAATCACGGTCGTAATCAACGAAGTAAAATAATAAAAGTGGTAAATTATAATGACCGTTTAGATGAAAATGGAATTCAGAAGTACTTGGAGTGGAATACTTGTTGATAAAGATTTGATATTCGTATTTTAAAAGAAAACATGTAAAAATGATCCCTATCATTCTCGACTATGTTTTTTCCAGTCAATATTACGACTGAAGGAAATGTACCATCACATGGAAATTATGAAAATAAGGAAAAGATTTAAGAAAAGTGATAATAATGATAGGTTCGTATATTTTGTGTGTGCAAGTTACCGTCGTTTTCGTGGGCACACTGTTACGTAAAGAAATTATCGTCAACGTGTTCTTTTTCTTTACTTCGAAATTTGCCACTAACACAGTTGTTTAAATTAAATAAAAACTTGGAAATATAAAAAAGATTTTGAAAAAACTAATAATAATTTTAGGATTTCTGTTGTTTTTTTTTCTATACGACACGTCTTGATTGGTCTCATCTTACCAGATGGAGTGAAACCAGAAAGTTGCCATTTAAAGCATAGAAAAAATAAAGAAATAATTACTGATATTTAATGATGAAATGTTTGAACTAAATTAATAAAGTAATCCATTGTGTGAAATTTGATTGATAATTCATCATTCGCATCACGTTATTATTTGTAAATATTAACGTGATATTACACATATTTGTAATCCGAATGATGAACGCGCGAAAGCAGGTTGCGAGAACGTGGCAACGTCGCGCTCCGAAAAGCATTGCGGCGCGGCGCTTACGGCGGGACCAACGACGTTCATAAGAGTTGCGCGACCAACGGAGTGTTAATTGGATTGAAAAAAGACCATTACACCCTGAGCAATGTAGTTTTATTCTCGTTTTTTCATTTTTTTCCGTGAAATTGCTTGTTTGCATGAAAACTTGAAAAATAATCGAGATAGGAACTTGAAACTTAGTATGATTTTAAGTTTCATGGTAAAAAAGTTTGGGATGCTGAATGAACGAAATCTTGAGGTCAATATCTCAATAACTATTTGTCCGATTTCATTTTTTTTCTTTCAAAATGTGCGTTTTCATGCCATTTATCTAGATCCAACAAAATATGGGTACCATCCCATTGAAATTTTTCGAGATATCGTCGTTTTTGTATTTTTTGCTCGGAGTTCACTTTTGCGCACTATGACATGGGTAAAAGTCAGGGAAACATTTTGAAACTTTGGTTTCTAGTTAGGATTGTCAAGGTACATTTCTATATCAAATTTTAGGTCCATGTATTTGATAGTTCTTGAGATGAAATAATTCAGCCATAATTTTTGAGAAAAAAAAATAACGCATCAGGATTATTGAGAAAGCATATTCATATAACATGAATATTGTTGCATGAAATTGCAAATTTATTTTATAAAAATAGGGGAAAATGAGTGCGATTGGCCTTAATATTTTCTAAAAATGGGAATCCGTATGCTTTCATTTTTTGAAATCATACATTGGGATCCATTCGGAAGCCTACTACCAATGAAATTGGGTAGAAATGAAAATAGGAGAAATATACGTGGAGAGTAGCAGTCATATGTAATCTGTCAAATGGCTTTTCACGCACTGCCTGTTGATTTAACTAATTCAATAATAATAGATTTTTCACTCTAAAAATAATCCTTTCTGAATTATAACGAATTTTTCCCCTTTCAGAATTTCACCAAAATTTAATTGGATGCCTAAAAATATTCTTCTGAAAGCTTGAGCCATTTCCATTATTCATTCCTAAGAATGTCGAAAAAAAGCAATTATTTGCAGAATCTCGTTCGAAAGACGCTGATTATCCATGCTTCATTTTCGAACTTTTTCTAGCCAATTCGATGAAGAAATTGGACCATTGAAAATCTGTGAATAAAAAGTATTTCGATATTTTCATTTTACGAATAAAATTTAATATTCGTTGATTTTGGGAAATACCTAAGTCTTGGTTTCATTAAACATAATCTCGAAAACCAAAAAATGACGTGGAAAAACAGGACATTAATTTTGTTGATTCTACCCTTGGCATTCAAGTTAATTTAATTATTAATCACTCCAATTAGTTTGTCAGTTCTTAGCACTTATCACTGATAAATAACTCCTGATTCAACTCATTATAAACAAATACATGTGTAGGAAACATGCTCTGATGTACTTTATGATTGCACGGTGTTTGTTTCTTATTTGGAGCTAGAAGCCCGTTTTTAAATTCACGCGCATTTTCTTCAAACATTGAGGTATCATCTTTTACACTGCTATCTTGCAGTATTTCTCCGCAACCTTGTACTAATCAGCTGATGTGAAGCCCAGTTCTATTCGACTAATCGAAATCGAATGCAAAATAATCGATTATCGCCATGAAATCCGCCATGTTCGATTAGTGACCCGTATCGCTTTTTATATAGGATAATGAAAATGGTACGTAAAGATGTCGTTCATGTGGATCCACCAAGCGATCTCCAAAACCCATGAGAGAATGTGTGTCGCCATATTCAACATGGCGATGAGCATTGAAGTTGATCACGTGATCACTAGGAGGTCGCCATGACAGTTTTCACTCATGAATCTTTTTTATTGGGATTTAGTAAAAATGTTTGAGTTTTCACTTTCGATTCGAGATATTGCCCATGCTTTTTTTTAATAAAGATTCCATTCGATGATTCTGTGAACTGAAAATGTCCTCAAATTACCCATAAAATCTGGGAATTTTTTCTCATTTTTTTTTGTAGAGTTCGAGAGTTTTGTAAAATTGGTACGAAAACTCGCCAAATATCTCGATTTTTTTAAATCAACTGATGTTTTGATTTCGGCGAATCAGAATGCAGTATTCAAAGTCACATGACCCTTCCACATTATTTTTATTTATATCAACTTTGCAACCCTTTATTGTTACTTTTCTCTTTGAATTTAGATAGATTTCGCGATATTTTCTTTCGTAATAAACAAATTAGTGTGTGCATGGTTACATACCAAAATTCCCCGGTCAAAATTCCCCGCGTCAAAATTCTCCGCGAGAAAATCCCTCCGCAACAGAACTACCTCGAACAAAGGATCTCAATGACAAAATGAAAATAAACACAAAATCAATTGAAAAAGGCCTTGTATAGTAGACGGATTGGGCATTAGAATGACAATAAGCACTCAACAGGTGTATCATATTATAAAAATAAATACAGAACAGGTATAGTGGGGACACGGAAATATCAATCCCACGATTCCCACAATCCCATGATTTAGTGTTGAACGGCTACATCCACCACAAGCAACGTTTACACAACATCACAACTGAATGCATAATATCAGGCATGTTGCCTGTTATTAAAAATTGAATAAAGATTTTCACGAACCAAGTATATAATTTCAAAAAAACCGCATAAATACGCCATACGGGGAATTTTATTGATAGGAATTATTGGGTTAGAAGAATTGGCGCAAGGAATATTAACATGAAGGAATTATGTCGGGAAGAAAAATGACGGGGGGAATTTCGACCAGGGGCGGGAAATTTTGACGGGGGAATTTTGGCGTGTCACCGTGTGCATACACGGACAATATTATCTGATAGATATTATTGTGGATTATTTGCTCTTTCCTTATTTCAGGCTAAAAATACACTTTGAATCTCACGCTCATTTTCGCAAAAGTTGCTCATGAAAATCCCCATTCACATTGCCCATTTTTTTCCAATGCTATCTGTCGGTATTCCCTCTGTTGTCCCCAAAGCCATCTGTTGGCGTTCCCATTGAAGCTTGGTCTCATTCGAGATATTTAGAGTTCGACTTTTTTCAATTCGAGTTTTTTCCCTCGTGTCTTTTATAGAATAGGATTATAGGAAGATTATGCTACATATGTCCTTGAATGAACTCCATTGACAATTAATAACATTGAAAATTATTCCAAATTAGTGTACATAAGAAAATCACAAATTTAAAAATACTGACAAATAATGAAGAGTATTCATTTAAGATCATGTAGCATAATCATCCCATAATTCAATATAATTGTGATATTTGGAGATGGACTTGAACCATCTGGGAATGAATAGCCTGGAGAAGTACGCTCCTGAAAAAAATTATTCTCCCAAGAAAATGATTGCTTGGCAAAAGTATTTTTTTTCTCAGTGTAATAGCAATCACGGTTAGATTCCCCATTCACTTGGTTATTTTTTAAAATCAATCCATCTTTTATTAAATTTGAATAAAGTGAACTACTAGAATGAACATATGTACCTATGTGGGTCGACGATAGCGGTAGTAGAGTGGTGCAAGGAGGGGTGGGTGTACAGAAAGGATTCAGAGAAAGGGGAAAAATGAGCCCCTGGAGCCTCTGTTTGGTTTCCTTGGACCGCATAGCGTGATAGGTTTGCGTAATGCGGTACATCCGCCGGTTTTCCCTTCTCTGAACCCACGCGGGTTATGGCGCTGGCGCGGAATCTGCCGGGGCGGTAACTCATCTTCGCCTGAGCGTTTTCGGATACGCTTCGCTCTCCATTTTCCATCGCTGTCTCCTCTGCAGTAGTTTTCTACCTCTTCTCCTGCTCGCCCATTTTCACAGGCTCCATCTCCAACTGTTCCTTGGAAATCTGAAAAAAAAGACAAGAAGATAAAGGGGGTGAGAGTGTAAAAAATGCATTGATTTGATTAAACGCTTCATAGTTACTTGCAATTCTTTTTGAATGAAGCATGGAAAACAGCTGAAGTTTATTTCGCACTGTAATTTCAGTCAATTTCAGTTTTAAATGTAGTAAAAAGTAACAATTCATTTTTTTAATGTTCTGCTTGGCTATGAAATCAACGAGTTATTTTAGGAGAAAAATCAACATTTTTTCTTGTGAAAAGTTCATCAGTTAAAAAATAATTCAGTTGTTATTTCCTCCTAAAATTATGCGTCTTCACTTCACTATTCACTCCAATTTTCATTATAAAATGGAAATTCAGCATTCCATCATCAGCTCTCTTTTTCTTTTACTCAATTGTATTTATCATTCAATAATCCATCAGCTTCTGAGATTCAATAGCCATTTTAAGCATCAGTAAATATTTACTTCCGAAAACTACATTCTAAGAATGTGAAATTATTCAAACGAAAATCAGCTGAAGGTATTGGCTTTTACCTCGAAACAAGCTCCACTTGTATCGAGGGAAAAACAAATCTTGAATTTGAACTAATGGTGTATTCAGTCAGCATAAAACATTCTCCAGTCTGCTGCTCAGGTTCACTCCCCAATTTCAGATGTAAATAGCTTTTAAGCTACGTTAGATGATTTCATATTTTTCAGATACAAGAATGATCTTTCGCACCTGCTTAACAAGGAGCAATAAATGATTGTACTCATCCTCTTGACACAATCGCCTCAACAGTTTTGTAATACTCGAGTCGTCCGAAATATAAAAATAATGAAAACAATTGTTTCAGAAAAAACTGATCCAGCATTTCCAAGTAATTGATTTT